CAGCAGCAGCAGCAGCAGCAGCAGCAGCAGCAGCAGCTCCTAGTTCCCTTGGTTGGATGTCACAGTGGTGTAGGGTTTCTTTCACATAATCTTTGTAGGGCTTGCGGGGTCGACCTTGAGGTCTCTTCCCAGACTCCAGTACACTACAGAGCAACTAGAGAGGCATAATGTGGTCATTCATTCTGATGACATGTCCCACCCACTGCATCTGGGTTCTGATAATCAGGGACTTAATGCTGGTGGATTCAGTGCAATCCAAGACCTCCAGGTGGGAGACACAGTCTTGCCGACAAATGACAAGGATGGAGTGGAGAGCATGCATGTGAAATTTCTCCCGTTGTTTGATGTGCCTTCAGTACAGAGTCCAGGACTCACATCCATATATGAGAGAAGGGATAACCTCAACTCTGTAGACTTTCAGCTTTGTGGAGATATGGATGTTGTGTTGATTGAGCACTCTAGTACACAACTGCCTCAGTTCCTGGCTGGCCTTACTGATCCTGGAGTCAATTTCTTTGTCCAAAGACCCATCACTCAAGAAGATGCTTCTCAAGTATTTGAAGCTGTTTACATTTGTCAGCTGGGTGTTGTCAACATTGATTTTTGGTTCTATGAAGTTGGTATTTGGCGCGGGCTGGTAAAGTACTTCAGTCTTTGTATTGTCAAAGACTACTTCAGTCTTGTTCAGGCTGATTGTCAGGCCAAAAAGCATAGCAGCGTCTGAGAATTTGTTCAGCATCAACTGTAGGTCACTGTCTTTGTGAGCCAGGAGTCATCAGCAAAGAGGGTTTCTTGGATCATGGTGTGGAGGCACTTCATCCATGTGTTCAAGCAGCAAAGGTCAAGAAGAGAACTGTCCAATCAGTACCTGATGTACATTCCCTCCTTCAGACCCTGGACAGCACGTGCTAGCACACAACCCTGTTTTTCCCTACCGGAAATGGCAAATGCAGCTGATATATCACAGTTGTAAAGAACCTGTCCTGTCATTCCATCGTGGAGTAGCTGAATCAACTTCATGAATTTCCTTGGCCATCCATAATGTCTCAGAGTGATCCAGAGAGCCTCCTGTTTACAGTGCCAAATGCCTTTGTCAGATCAATGAAGACAGAGTAAAGAGGCTTATTCTGCCAAAAGCCACACTGCACTTCTGGGAGGTTTCTTTCTGAGACACGTGACAAGTCTGCTCAGGAGAATGCAGGCAAAGTCTCTATGCAAATATATCTACATGCAATGATAAGCGCTGAGGCAGGGCATCGGTAACAGGGGAAATAAGGCTTGATATCCTAACTATAGACCTTCTCAGACAACTGCAAAGGATAGCTTATTTTTATATTTTGAAGTATACTGCTTATTATGTGAGAGAAAACTAATGTGATTATTTCCCAATTATAAGCTGAAAAATCAATTTAAAAATCTGCACAAAGAATGCCACATACCTAAGTGGTAAAGTGGGAAGCAAGCAGTTAAGTTTTTAGCTAAGATTGAAAGACCTTAACATGTTTATGATAGGCTTAATGGCAAGCAGTACATCTCCACCTATGCAATACTCAGAACAATAATTACTATGACAACGCAGTGCTTCGGATTCCAAGGCTAAAAGGTGATTTGGAGTGTGCAGGGTGAGGGGGCAGAGGTCTGACGACTCACCTTCTCGGTGTTGGCCATCACTGAAATAAGAAATGACCCCAATCTCTTGGCCTTGAAAACTCTATTGCTCTGCAGGATCTATAGGCACTGATGGTAAAAGGCCACCTCAGGTTAGTTAAATGAGTTTAGATGAATTATTATTTATATTGGTTTATTCTTTTCTGAATGTAAACTGCCTCAAGTCCTTTGCAGAAATGGGTGGTATATAAATAATTCACAGATAACTAGATTGACTCTCTCAGTACAACTATGTACTTTCTCAGATATTATGGCTGCTTTGCCAGCTGCAGCACAATCTCAGGAAAAAAAAAAACATGTTTGGTTTAAGACGTTGCCTACAGGTTTTATATGCATGCTCCTGCATGATCAGGAGACTCTTTTGGCTTATGAATTCTAAGTGCTGCACAGCCCTAATAATTAATAATAACTGGGAGGTTTTATTAGTATGTTTGATCTTAAACTATTTCATTGCAGCTTTGGCATTATTTCATGTGTTTATTTTAAGCATTTAAGCGCTGGAAGTTTATCTGATAAATTATAGTTGAATTAAAAATATATTTAGGACAAATAATTTTACTATGTGAAAATAGTGAATAACATTACCACAAATACATCAGCTATTATCCCTACTGCTTTATATAGGTATCGGTCTCAAAAAAGAACAGCCATAGAAAGACAGATAGATAGGATGGAAGAAGTAAAAAAACTTCAAAGAAGAGTAATGGGATTAACAAATAATTTGAAAAATGTGAGTTATTAACTTAGAATCTATTCCATTCCGAAGAACCTAACAAATAACCAAAATAAACATCTCTGAATTCCAAATAATTAAAAAGACCACTTAATAATTTTATCCTTAAAAATGTGATTCAGTTAAATTCAGTTTGCATAGAGATACACACATCCAATATCTGATACTGCTAACATCTTATGGTGCTGGAATCTTCCAACAGTGCACTCTTTTATTTACTTCCTCAAGAGGCAAACTTAAATGATACAAATAACTTATACAACTTACATGTTTCAAATCATTTTTAAATTGTTTCATTTCATAGCCTCTGGAAATCTTGGGTGTAATCAGAATGGCTCCATGCATGTGACTAACTAGAGATGTAATGGTTCGACGACCCACTCCACTTCGGCCTGCTAATAGAAGTGACCCTCCAGGAAAACTCAATACTCTATCAATTCTAGACACATAATCAAGAACTTCTGTGAAAAGTAAAATCTCTATTTCATGGTTATCGCGTCCATAATGAATAATACCCTAAGGAGAAAAAAAAAGTTAGTCAATATATGGAAGTGAAATAATGAAATGAAGCAATATAGAACACTTCAGAAAATATTGTATTTAGAACTGTATTTCTGTGGGCTATGTAAAATGTTGAGACAATCTAGTCAAAATGGAACATTACGAAAATCCTTCATGTCCTTTTTTTGTTTGTTTTTGTGCTTTTGAGTCAGTGTTGACTCCTGGCAACTGCCTGGTCTAGTCCCTGCAGTTTTCATATCCTACAGCTCATTAATTCATTTTTTGAGATAATAAAATGAAGCAGTGTAGAAATGATTGTGTTTTAAAATGTTTATATTCCTGCTTGGCTTGCTAAATCTTGAGACAAACTTGTCCAAATGGGAAATTACCTAAATCTGTTCACATTCTAGTGCTCATTAATTCATTCTTTTGAGAATTCCCACAATCTTTATTCAGGAAGCAATGTTTTAAAAGCTAGAATATGATAAGTAATGAGATTTGGTGGCTCTAGAGATGCTATCAAAAAAGGACATTGATTACAGTGCTATTTTAACACTAGTGTTATTTCTGGTGCTCCCTTGGGGCTCTTCCACACAGCCTGCTTACTGTACCATGAAGACACTCTACTTACTGCTTGCCGAGGACACATTCTCCCAAAACAGATTCTGTCTCATAGACAGTCAACTGCTGAGGCAGGCTAAAGCTGGTGCAGGATGTACTGGCATGAAAATAGCATTTTTCCTCGGAAAACAGAAGATCATCCCCATCTGAACAACTGATGGTGCATGGAGGAGGTGGCTTGCATTGATATAATCAAGGCTTGCAATCTCCTTCACTACAATTGGCCTTGCAGGTCTACTATGAGACTGTTCCCTTTGGTCCAGTCCCTAAGTTCACTGCCTATTCTGCAGTGCTGTTTTTGCTGTTTTTAAATGGGTTAGTTGACAGTTGTCCTAGAGAGTGCAAACCTCTGAAATGGATTACCCTGTTCTCAACTTAACACATGCACCTGAAAGTGTAATGGAAGGGACTCAGAATTAGTAGTCTTGTATGCATATATTCTATATATTCCATGAATCTTCAAAGTCTCCTCACAGCAGTATAATCTTAATATGCAGACCATAACCTGTCATTCTGAAAGTCACATTTTGAAAGAAGGTTATTGCCCTTGCTGTCATGAAGGCACTTTTGAAATATGCAGACAAATGTGAAAACCAGATGGGCTGGTCTGAATTCCCAGTGATCAGAATTCTACTGGGTCAACTATCCTAAATCTGAAATATAAACTTCTGAAAATCCCCTCTCTATGTATATATGTGCATGTGTGCATGTTTTAACATACCTTCCTGATAATATCTTTTAAATCTGTTGAGTTAAGTTTGCCAAGTGGCCTCCCGTGAGGTGGCAGGGTCTGTCCTGGAGCCATAAGGGTTCCTAGTTCATAGTGAGCTCCCCATGTCACATAAAAGCTATCTGTGTAAATACAATGTAAGTGGAATTATAGTTCACATTCTGAAATAACTATGATTGGAAAAGAGGAAAACAAATCTAGAATATTTTATTTTACCTGCCATGTTGTCCAAAATATCAGATCCCCAATCTCCTTGAAAGACTTTCATTAAAATATTATCAAATAGATGAACTTCTTTAGCACCAACAATTTTGTCACGGAAAAGCCGTTTTGCTTCATACGCAACAATTTCCAAGACGGTATCTACCGAGTGTGTTAACCCCCCTGTGAAGCACACATTAACAATATGCCATTATAAATTATAGTATTCAAAATCTGAAATTCTGTACTTCAATTTAAAGATTAAAAAAAAGGATGTCACATACCAGAAGAGAGCCATCAAAAGGCAGCAGAGAAAAAAAAAAAAATCCAAGAATGAAGTTTCAAAGCCATGTTACTTTTAAGAATATACAACTGAATAATTCATGCAAAACCCAAGACAAATGTATTTTTATTTAGCTCAGTGCTGGTTACTTATTTAAGAAAGATTGCCACTTAGTCTTTCAGTAAGCAGCAATGCAAAACAATTTAACATGAAGAACCTCTGTGTTCAGAATGGATTCAAGGTACATTTGTTGCTAGACCATCTTAGATCATACCAGTTAAATCTATTATGTCTGCTCATCCCCAACCAATCCTGACAAACTGTTTAGAGTCCAAAGTGCCACAAACATGGAACTATATTTAGAAAGTGAGAGGGAAAGAAAAAAACATACTGCAGGTTATGGTTAATCTAATGTGCTAATCTTTAAAACACTAGAGAAAGCTTATTATTGTAACTACAAACATAGCTATTATGGAATACATTAAAATGTTATTTGTGAATTAATAATTCTACCTGTTTCCTGTAATCAGGCATGACTGCTGCTGCCTACATTGCAAAGACAGCATCACTCAAAAGTAGTGCGACAGGGAGGTATTTATTAGATTTATATCCTGCTTTTTCTTCAGGAGTTCAAAGCAGCATACATAATGCTCTTATTTTCCACACAACACCAATCCTGTGCGGTAGGTTGGGCTGAGAGACGACAGACTGGCCCAAAGTCACCCAGGGAGCATCCACACCTGAGGCAGGATTAGAACTTGGTCTCCCTGATCCTAGTCCAACACCTTCACCATGACCCCACACTGCCTCTCAGAACTGGGATGCAACCTTAGTTTGGACAACTACAAATTATCTTCAGGTTGAGCCCCCACTAATAATAGGAATCAGCAGTTCTGCAGCAAACTGCAGTGACACTAACATGAAGATATAAATGCAGTGATGTCAAGAAAATGCTGCAATTATGTATTTGAGTCCTGGAGTCTAACAAGTATATTAAGTCACAGCATTTGTGTGATGAGATACACAAACATGTTTGTGCACTCCCCCCCCCCATTAGAGGAACCCTCAAAAAAGTGCTAAGTGAGCTAATGGCCATGGAATGTTGACTAGTTATTGCAGGAAGCCGTGGACAAGAAGAGAGAATTAAAAACTGGGGGGGGGGGCAATAAAATGAAGTATATAATGAAGGGCAGTTTCATTGACTGGATTAATGAAAAAGAGTAAAATGTACTGAAACATTTGTCACTTCTTAATCTTATCTCCAGATTCCTTTATAAGTATCATTATAATATGAGCAGATAAGCTGACAAAGTCAGAAACAGAAACTGGCAAAAATCATAATTAGACATTCTAACATGCCAAATAAGCCAGGATTACTCACCTCCTGTTAAATCATATCTGAATAAACCTAGAACCCACTGAGTAAGAATACAGGGTGTAAAAAGGTAGTGGCTGTAGTCATCAACTGTGAATTTGGCTCGAACCTAGAAATACAGATGACGTCAATTCTATGGTTTTAATCCTGGCGTTATTTTTTGCAATACATTGTAATAGTTTTCTACATTTGCTCAAAACATTTTTATGTACAAATCTTCATGTAAAAGAATCATATTCTAAATATATTTATAAGAAGCCCTGCGGAGGTCTCAAATATAAGTAGACATCCAATAAATCCATATTGTGTTATTTATGGCGTGTGAGTTTTTTACAACACTCTCTCGTGGCCTTACTACAAGCGTGTTTTAATGTTTTAATGGTTATTTAAGATGTGTTTTTATTGTTTTGTTTTATTGTATACCATCCAGAGTCACATTAATGAGATGGGTGGTTATATTAGTTGATAAATAAACAAACAAGCAAGCAAGCAAATAAATACATTATTGTCATGGATTATTTAAGCATAACTTACAAAATAAATCACAATTGGGAGAGTCTGTGCAACCCACTAAGACATATACCGAAAGATACAAACCATAACAACTTTGTTCCCAAAGCATGATAGAATAAAACCAAACAAAAAGCACTGGGGTTTAACAGGTGTGAATTCAGTTACAAAGTGCCTTTTAGAGAAATGAGAAAGCACAGTTACAACTAAATATTCAAAACAATATATATGAGTTACTTGGGAGAAAATGTCTGGGTAACATTGAGCTAAAAATGTTAATGATTATACATCAGAGAACTGATGTGGTTTATGAAGCATAAGAAAACATTTCATATGAACTATGCATTAGCCACTACACATTCTCCTATTCGGTAACTTATATTTCAAGGAAATCAGATCCCTATATTTTATTTGAATATGACTGAAAAAGCACTGCCTAAACAATTTGGATTAGATTAGTGAATCTGAATGTACAAGAACTCCAAGAAAAATCACATGGTCAAGGCCAATGAAATGAAAAGATTCTGGAAAGAAAAATCTAACAGAGTTACTCTAACCTGGGTATCTACTGACACCCAAGCAGTGGTACATGGACAAGAGAAGATCAAAAAATGAGGGGCTTTAGAATTTTACATTCATTGTTAGAGACTTAGATTGGCAGATCTCTGAAAAAGTGATAGAAAGATGTAACAGAAAATACGGCATAGAGATTTGAAAGTATGATTTTATCTATGTAAATCTATCTCAGGAAATTATACAGTGATAAAGATATTTGGCCCCTAAATACTGTACAATTTGGAAAAGAAAGTGCTATTAGCTTATATCCTCATAAAATCTCTCAAATGTGAGAAATAAATTATTAAGTAAATGCTATATCATAAAGGATATAAAAGGGAAACATACGCTAAAGCCACTTCAATTAAATGGACTGATGAGAATTCTTTCTTGCGCATGATTGACATCTACTTTATAAGCCTTGATATAAATAAGTGTTAATGTATTTTCACACCTAAAACAGACAGACTATATTTTAGAAATCCTATCTAACCATTCTGGGTGGGCTGCGGTTTGGCAGAACCAAATCCTGGAACATGATTGCTCCAAGTTTCAGACAGAACAAAATCTGGAAGAGCCTCATTTGGTTCTGCCAAACCGCAGCCCACCCAGAATGGTTAGACAGCAGGTAGGGCAAGGTTGGTATGCCTTGCCCTTCATTCCCTTCCTCTGTCACTATTCTTGACTAAGAAATATGCAACAATTAACCTGTAATGTAAACATTCAGTAAAGGTAAAACAAAACTTTGATACAATCTGTAAACTATAATTTATTCTACAAAACACATCAGATCAGCTGAAGCAAATTGTTAAGTGGTGTATGTTTTATTGCTGAAGGCATGAGCTCCTGAAGGAAAGATGGGAGAAATTTACCAAACAAACAAACAAATCACCTAAGTCAGGCATAAGGGCAACAAAAATGTCCTTCAATTTCTACCAAAGTTAGCGTTAAGAATCCTATTGCTCTGATCTTCAGGCAGTCTTGATTTCTATTAATTTGCACAATCATCTCATAAAACCATCCATGCCAGAAACTATCCCAATCTCCTGACAAGACATTTCATTAACCAAGTACATATTCAGTGAAGAAATATTTTCTTTTGCATCTTGAATCTACAACTTAATACACTGTACTGAATCACACCTTCTAATCTTACAAAGATATTACAATTTAGCTCTGTTTGCTTTCACAATGTACTGTGTACACTTTTTAAAAAATGTCAAATATTTTAACTTCTAAATGTTTGAAACAGCTGAGATACAAAGCTGGCTTGCCCATCTCCTCCTTCTGTAACAAGAGGAACAGCTAGCATCAACAGAATGCAACAACACCATGACAAAGGACATCAAAGTTACAGTACAGTTCATTTTAGGTTATCAGAACTTAAATTATTTTATACCTGCTCATATACTTGAACCATAGATCCTGCTAGCTGGTATATCTTTGCTAAGGATCCCCAAGCAGGATGATTTTTTAGATTCTTGTGTAAAACTGGTTCTAAGTATGCACCGTAAATTGTCTGTAGCTGATCTCTTTCTGGATAACTAGAAAATGCAAGTTTAAAACTCAGTTACAACTTCAGTTTATTAAAATCTCATTTGAAAATGCAAGTTTAAGAGCAGAGCAGTTAAGATGTTATTTGTCTAAGAAAGGATGATGACTAGAAAGCATTCTATAACAAAACCTGGTGCCTGAATACCTGGCCAGATTTGGCCTGTCCCATATGAACTTTGAGGGAATAGTGCAGGTCCTCACCCCCCAAGAGATGAGGGGCACTCATGATACAAGACTTGTCTTGAGTTAACTAGATTAGCTTAGATGAGATATTGGTTCTACTGGCTCTTTATTTTCTGATTGCAAACTTTCTTGAGTCTTCTGTGAAAGTTAGCAGTCCATAAATAACTGTATATATAAGTATATATAAGTTAATAAGACAAGGCTGGTTTCTCTGGGCATTTTCTTCCTTAATACCGAAATGTTGGGAGATAACGTATTTCCAAACTTGTTGAACTTTTTCAATTATGATTCACATATTAAGACATACACAGAAATAGATCCACTACACATAGAGAGAAATGACAATGCAGTTAGATTAAGTATTGAAGCTAATTTTTAGACTGGAGAGAGAGAGATGGCTATATAGGTGTACATGCAGGAACTAGGGTAAATGACTACGGCAGAAATCATCAAAGTCAACCAAATCAAACTTAAGATTTGGAAGTAGATGCTTACTCAATTGCACAAAGACGGACTATAGAAGTAAACCTGGAAGTAAGCTTATGCCTTCCTACTGTTCCTCCAGCAGACATGGATGCCACAATTTGGATGTTTTCCAACCCAACCCATTCAAGATTTTCATCATAAAATCCTTGATATGTAAGCACCTTGGAAAATTAAAAAAAAAAACAAATATGAATATTGTTTAGTATCTAAGATGCACTATTTGGATTATGCAAATAGCAATAGTATAATACATTGTTGCTTGCTATGGCCGCTACGGGTCGGATTACAAAAAAAAATTGAACACCAAGGAAGATGCCAGGATGCTTATAATTAATAAAGATTTATTAAATAGTCCCAATACTTACAGAATCACAGAGTCACCCCTCAGCGCACCGCATTGAGTCTGGATTGCAGCAAGGTAGGTAGTCAATGGACGTGACTTATAAACAGGGTCACCATCTGGGGTAGTTCCTATAGTCCATTTTTCTTAATTCACTCCCCCACCCTTAGGAATGTGCATTCCAACCCAGGAGATTAATAAAAAGGATTACTATTTACATTGATCAAATTCCAGTAAAGGACAAAGAGGAAAGGAATACAAAAGTAGGCAATGGGTAAATCCCACTGAAAGGAATACAATAGTGCAGGCTGTTTGCCTTGCCAGCTAGCAGTGGTAAGATGTGAGCCATGCCAGAGGCGAATGCAGTAAGCAATTAACTTATTAGGGTCAGAGCAGAGAGCATGTTAATAACCAGCAGCGGTGAGGCAAGGCACAAGCTGCTCCAGAGGTGAATGCAGTAATCAATTAAATCATTAAGGTCAGAAATTTTTTTTAAAAGACTAGAAACCCTCTATGGACTTTTTGCTGAAAGAAGAAAAAAATGAATTGATGATTTATGGATTTGAAGATTTAGAAAGATGTGAATTAAATGAGGGGATTTGCAAAATATTTAAGAGGGAGGAGGGGCAATAAGATTGTAATTATGTGTTGAAAAGAAGGTAGAAGTCATTCATATATTTCTTTAGTTTTCTTTTTTTTCTTGAACTTTTTGCTTTTCTTTCTTTTCTTTTTTTCTCTTTTTTGATTTGCCTTTTATTTTATAAAAACTCTTAATAAATATAAATTAAAAAAAACTTATTAAGGTCAGAGCAGGGAGATTGTTAGTTTGGGTTTGCATTTGTTAAGCAAGCAATGTGCTGCAGAGAAAAACCACTCAGGAAGATTTAGCTTATTTAAGCAACCTCTCTTCCTGGCATTAAGAAGAAAGGAAAAAATCATTTAAAATAAAATAAACTTTATACCTCCTGTCATGTTCTGAACCTAACATTTAATATCAGAAACATGGAAAATATCTACATGAGGAAACAATTAAACAATCTTATTTTTTTTAATTATCTTCAACAAACATGGTTAAGGTCTTTAAAAATAAGACACAGAGTTTTAATGGCAGAGAAAATGCCAGATGAAATACTGCGATTTGGGGGGAAAAACATTAATACATACAAGTATAAGGAAACCAAAAAGAGATACAAAATTCTGTTCTATTCTATAAAACTATTGAGAAATGAAAAACCTTATTCTACTCACCTGCTGTAGGAACGCCACAAGTGTGCTTGTTCCCCATTTATCAGGCTTAGGCAAATTTATATCTTTTAGGTATAAAACCAGCCTTTCACAATCCTTTGGCCTATATACTCGTCCGGTATTGGTGCTAATTACTAAGCATGTCTGACTTAATTTCTGCAGAAGATGCCGAGATGTAGTCTGTGCACTGCAATGAACTGTAGCAATCTGAGTAGACCGAAGCTGGGAAAAGGCATAACGGAGTAGCATTCTATAAAAAAGAAAAGATTCAAAATTTTAAAACATTTACAGAAATTTGGAAAAAGCTTGTGAACTCTATACATTTACTATAAAATCTTGTATTCATGAATATGTACTTCCCCCCCCTCAAAACTGGAAAAGGACAAATGTGTACTATTCCTTTATATATTTTTTAATTATGTAAGAGAGATGCTTCACTCTATATAGTTCCCAAAATGAAGAGCCAATTGTGGTTCTAAAACACAGGGGCTGTTCAATATTACATTTTGCTTTATTGCTTTTGCTTTATTGCCTTGTATTAATTGCTCTTTTACTTAACTCCTTTTGGGAATTTTTCTGTCGTTCAATTAGCTCCCTCCTAGTCTAAATACCAGCATCCTTCTTCCCAGTCCTATATATTACTGGTTTTAAACCTCACTCAATTACAGAATTTACTGTGTGACTCTGAGCCAGGCATAATCTCTCTGTCCAATCTACTTTATAACATTAATTATGTAAGGTTTGTTATAGCTGTAGACCAGTGAAATGAATAAGCATATCTGATATGCAAAGTTGTGGTTATAAAATAAAATAGATCCTCATGCACACTAAGCATCCAGAGGAAAGGCAGGATATCATGATTTTGTTGTTTAGTCGTTAAGTTGTGTCTGACTCTTCGTGACCCCATGAACCATATTGCGCCA